CATTGGGCTCCACCTTCGAATTCCACATCGCGCTGAGCAACGCCACCGCTAGCTGCCACTGCCCGCCTTTCTCGCACGCGCTCATCCCAGCGCTGTAGCTGATGACGCTTGGCTCCAACTTCTTGTCCCGAATCTCGTTGAGTAGCGACACCGCCTGCTCCCACTGGCCAGCTTTCTCGCACGCGCTGATCCCAACGTTGCAGCTGATGACGTCGGGCTCCAACCTCGCCTCCCACAGCTCGCTGAGCAGCGCCACTGCCCGCTGCCACTGCCCGTCCTTCCAGCACGCGCTCATCCCAGCTCTGTAGCTGACTAGGGCTAACCCGTGGCCTGCGGACAACAAAATCTGTCCAAGATGGCACGCTGGACCAGGGCAGAGACATTGACGAAAGGCCGTCGTGATGATGCTGGGCCTGAACTTCGCCTCTGCTGTGGCTGCCTGCAGCTGCAGGGTGCTGCTGCCTGCGACATGTTGTTGCTGCTGCCCACGTTTGCAGTGCTGCCGTTGTCTGCTTCGGACTGCTAGTGGTCGCTGTTAACGCTTGAGCCTACAGAGTGCTGTTTCTTGGTACCCTTGTTAGATGACGCAACCTGCAGCTCGTGGACGGTTCGAGGAGCGAGGAGCAAGGCGCGATGAGTCACGGTCGATGGGAGAGGTGGGGGAAGCGAGGAGCGACCAGCGATGAGCACAGAGCGAGAAGGGAGGAGCGACGGCCGAGCAGAGAGAGATTGATGTATACGCAGCACCCCGCAGATGCGGATAAGAGTGAGGGGGCGATGGGGACGTCGGCAGTTTGCGAAACTCTGGAGAGTGGGTCGCGGGGTGGGTCGCGGGGTGGGTCGCGGGTGGGTCGCGAGGTGGGTCGCGGGTGGGTCGCGGGGTGGGTCGCGGGGTGGGTCGCGGGGGGGGTCGCGGGGTGGGTCGCGGGGTGGGTGGCGGAGTGGGTCGCGGGTGGAACGACGACCCACCCGCGACCCACGCGCGATCCACCCGCGATCCATGTGTGACCCACCCGCGACCTACCCACATTGGTTTAACGAAAAAATCGGCGGCGGGCTCGTTGTATAATTTGTGAAACATTGGCGCCTGCGGTGGGCTTCTCCAGAGTCTCGCAAACTGCCGACGTCACCACCACCCCCTCGCTCTTATCCGCATCTGCGGGGTGCTCCTTATTGCTATGTAGAGGTGGAACAAAACAAGCAACAGCAACAATAATAACAACAACAACCACAACAGTCACAACAACAACAATAACAACAACAACAACAACAACCGCAGCAGCAGCAGCAACAACAACACCAACAACAACAACAACAACAACAGCAGCAGCAGCAACAACAACAACAACAACAATCATTTTACCCGAACGCTCAGTGTTCTCCCCAGTGCCAGGGTTTTCTTGCGACACCAGCCAATACCCCCACTTCGTGGGGGGGCCGTTCAAGCTCTACCAAATATCCAAACGACTCTTCGAGACCACCCACACCCAGCTTCCCGCCCTATGACGTTGGGACACTTCACTTCGTGGCGTGCGGACGACCCTGGCTACTACACTGGCGTGGGGTACACACCCACAGAGGTTGATCACATCTGTTACATATGATGTGGTACACGGTACACGTGAGATGGTACGCAGTGCCAAGATAGTTGGTCACATTTTTGGGGCAAATTCGTGGGGATGCGATTACAGAAGTACATGTGTTACACTGATGTTATACAGTCCCAAGGATGACGCATGCATTGCTCATAGACTCATGGCGCTATGATCCTAACTCTCAGTGCCCAACGCGCGCGTGCACAGCCAGACGGAGGGAGAGAAACACATGTATACAAGGTTCGTGACATACGCACGGTCCACCATGTTGTAAACGATCGCATGCACGGTAAGTTCTGAAATTATACGTATGTACAAGCAGACATGCGAGGGAGAAAGGGAGATGGCCATCGACAGTTCCAATACGGCTCCAAGGCGGAAGAGGGGGAGGAGGAGCAGGACAAGGAGGAAAGGAGAGAAGCGAGAAAGGAAGAACGCAGACGGCGCGGCTCTGGACACAAAGGGGTGCCATACTTTCTCCTGCTTTCGCAAACAGGTCCAGTCACACGTAGGGGTATACTCAACCGAATGGTCTTCGCATCCAGAAGCATACTAAAGGCGCGACGCATCGTCGTCTGCGATGGCGCGGCTACGGATATGTGCGTCAGCAGTCGGGGGCCTTCCTGGGGCCGCTTGGGGTCCTCTTGGGGAAGGGGGGAAGCCTCCTGGCGCGGTTTGGGGTCCACTTGAGAGCCTTTGGGGGGCTCCTTGGAACCATCTTGGGGCCTCTTGGGGGCTTATTGGACCCTCACGGCGGACTCTTGGGGCCTCTAGAACGCCTCCTGGGGCCATCTTGGGGGTCTCTTGGAGCCACCTTGGAGCCTCTCTGGAACCTCTTGGGGGCCTCTTGGAGTCCTCTTGAAGCCTCTTGGGACCATCTTGGGCGCCTCTTTGGGCCTCATGGACGCCTCTTGGGGCCATCTTGCGCGCCTGTTGGGGCCATCTTGGGTTTTAAAGATTCATCAAGAGACCGCGAATGGATTTCGAGATTTTTCGGATGAGAAAGTAGTGCGTTTTCATATGTTTTCTGAACATCGCATCTTGAAATTATTGAAAACCCATTGTGTTTGGCAGGATTTCGACATGCGCGCGCGGCGGCCGCGCGCATGTGCACTTCGTCTCATTTTTTGCAAGGGATGGTGGCCCTCGCAGGCGCGCAACCGTTGTTGGAGAAGTTCAAAGCACCTGAAGAAGTAGCACGCAAAGACCCTTTTGACAGAAATGTTTAAAAAGTGGTGTGTTTCCTATGAATCCGCAAGAGCGCGCGGAAGGACATTTTGACAATTTTTTCTTAAAAAACCATTGGGTTTTTGATGTTTTTATGTTAAAATCGTTACGAAACCTAAGGTTTTGGAAGGATTTCGTCTTGCGAGCGCGAATGTCCACTTTACCTTATTTTTTGCAAGGGATTCTTGAAATTTGATCAACTAAGAACAAGAATTTTCATTTTCTATTGTTTTTTGCAAGGGAAAACGAGCGTCAACAAAAAACCGGATCCGGGGGTAATCCACTTTTCTGAAGCTTTCGCAGAAAAATGATGAAAATGTAGCTGCGGCCTAGGTTTTGGGCGGGGGGCGTGCACCAGGGGGTCCAACAATAATAATTCTTTATAAGTAATAGTGTTCAACAGCAATTACTAGCACGTGGGGACACTCCGTTCTCACCAGTGCCAGGGTTTTCATAGGAGGCGGGCAATACCCCCACTTTGTGGGGGGGCCGGTTCAAGCTCTACCAAATTTCCAAACGACTCTTCGCCACCACCCACACCCAGCTTCCCGCCCTATGACGTTCGGACACTTCACTTCGTGGCATGCGGACGACCGTGGCTACTATTCAGGGCCCCGCGGCCGACGACGACGGCGTGCGCGCGCGAAGAAAAAACGAATGTGTCCCGCATGGTATTATTTGACAGGGATGATGGCCCTGGCAGGTGCGCAACCGTTGTTGCAGAAGTTCGAAAAAGTTGCTCGCAAAAGCCCGTTTGACAGAAATGTTTAAAAAGTGTTGGGTTTCCTACGAATCCGCAAGAGCGCGCGGGATGAGATTTTGACATTTTTTTGTTGAAAAACCATTGGTTTTTTGATGTTTTTATGTTAAAATCGCTGCGAACACTAAGGTTTTGGAAGGATTTCGTCTTGCGCGCGCGAATGTCCACTTTACCTTATTTTTTGCAAGGGATTCTTGAAATTTGATTATATTAGAACAAGAAATGTCATTTTCTATTGTTTTTTGCAAGGGAAAGCGGATTACAACAAAACAACCGGATCCTGTACACACCCTCTTTTCTGAGGCTTCCTCACGAAAATGATGAAAATGTAGCTGCGGCCTAGGCGGCGCAGGGGGGGCGCGCACCAGGGGGCCCAACAATAATTATTCTTTAGAATAAATAATGTTCATTAACTACTACTACTACGACGACTACGACTACTACGACTATACGACTACTACTACGACTACGACTACTACTACTACACTACTACTAATACTACTACTACTACGACTACGACTACTACTACTTACTACTACTACTACTACTACGACGACGACGACTACTACTACTACTACTACTACTACTACTACTACTACTACTACTACTACTACTACTACTACTACTACTACTACTACTCTACTACTACTACTACTACTAACTACTACTACTACTACTACTACTACTACTACTACTACTACTACTACTACTACTACTACTACTACTACTACTACTACTACTACTACTACTACTACTACTACTACTACTACTACTACTACTACTACTACTACTACTACTACTACTACTACTACTACTACTACTACTACTACTACTACTACTACTACTACTACTAAATACTACTACTACTACTACTATAACTACTAACTGCTACTACTAATATTACAACAACACTAACAACAACAACAACAACAACAACAACAACAACAACAACAATTACTAGCACGTGGGGACACACCGTTCTCACCAGTGCCAGGGTTTTCATAGGAGGCGGGCAATACCCCCACTTTGTGGGGGGGCCGGTTCAAGCTCTACCAAATTTCCAAACGACTCTTCGCCACCACCCACACCCAGCTTCCCGCCCTATGACGTTCGGACACTTCACTTCGTGGCATGCGGACGACCGTGGCTACTATTCAGGGCCCCGCGGCCGACGACGACGGCGTGCGCGCGCGAAGAAAAAACGAATGTGTCCCGCATGGTATTATTTGACAGGGATGATGGCCCTGGCAGGTGCGCAACCGTTGTTGCAGAAGTTCGAAAAAGTTGCTCGCAAAAGCCCGTTTGACAGAAATGATTAAAAAGTGTTGGGTTTCCTACGAATCCGCAAGAGCGCGCGGGATGAAATTTTGACATTAAAAAAAAAATGGTTTTTTGATGTTTTTATGTAAAAATCGCTACGAAAACTAAGGTTTTGGAAGGATTTCGTCTTGCGCGCGCGAATGTCCACTTTACCTTATTTTTTGCAAGGGATTCTTGAAGTTTGGTTATGTTAGAACAAGAAATGTCCACTTTAGCTTATTTTTTGCAAGGGAAAACCGATCGTAACAACACAACCGGATCCGGACCAACCCGTTTTGCCTGAGACTTCCTCACGAAAATGATGAAAATGAGGCTGCGGCCTAGGCGCGGCGGGGGGGTCGTGCACCAGGGGCCCCAACAATAATTATTCTTTAGAAGTAATAATGTTCAACAACAACAACAACAACAACAACAACAACAACAACAGCAACAACGACAACGACAACGACAACAACACCAACAACAACAACAACAACACCAACAACAACAACACCAACAACAACAGCAACAACAACAACAACGAAATAACGCAATACCTTAATACATAGAGAGAGGCGAGGAGGGATACGGGGGAGCCGACGAGGAGAGGGGCACCTGCAGCCAGGAGGGAGAAGCGAAGGGCAAGGAGAATGGTGGAAGGAGCGACGTAGAGCGAGAACAGAGGAGCCATCAGCGAGGCCAGGGGGGCGAGGGGCGAGGAGAGAGCGGGGAGGAGCGGTGCGCGCGGAGCGAGGAGCAGGGGGCGATAGGGAAGGCACGAGAGGATGCCAGCACACGCATGTCTTCATGGCCTCGGCGCGCGTGTAGCCGAACATCTGGCACGGTGGGGGCACTGGATGAGGAACCCCTGGCTGAGGAATCCAGGGTCTGGAAGCTGGGGCAACTCCAATCGTGGACTGGCCATGGACATCACCGCCGCCCACATCCGACAAGGAATGGCCCAGGGTCTGAAGGCACATGGGCACATTCCTTAACCAACGCCCCCACTGCATCTTTCGCTAATGTGGCGCTCTGGGGTGCTCGGCACGGTCGCGGAGCTCCCTAGGGATCCTCCCTCGGAAGCCTCTTCGAGGCGGTGTTGCGGCCTCTTGGAGCCTCTCGGGGCCCCCTTGGGGCCTGATCTGGGCGTCCTGGAGGCCTCCTGGGGCTTCTGGGGGGGCCGCGTGCCGGCGGTTTCTGAGATCAGCATGGAAAGGAGCGCACAAAATGTCTCGTCGAGATCCCTCTCTTGGGGGGCTCTTGGGGCCTTCGGGCCATCTTGGGCCGTCCTGGGCGCCTCTTGGACCGTCCTGGGGGTCTCTTGGGCCGTCGTGAGGCTCTCACGGGGGCCTCTGAAGCTGTATTGGGAAAATTCGGGGAGCCTACAGGGCCTGTTGGAACGCTGCGAAGGCAAACAAAAAACAAGAAAGCAATTAGCCTGGCGAAGAACCCAACCATATGCAGTTGTCAGTACCGCAGCTGCGGGTTTCATCTTCAATGGAACTCCCCATAGGACTACGGAACGTGTGAGGGGTGTGCCGAGATTGGCGCCACTGGGGCATTCGGCGAAGCTCCCTATGGGGACATGAGACACGCGCGGGCGTGCCGACATGGGTGGCGGAAACGCATGTGCGGGCCGCCACTGGGGCCTCCAGTGGAGCTCCCTATGGGCCCCCGAAACATGATGCTGCTGCGGGGGGGGGGCCGGGATGGGCGGCGGAGACGCACGTAAGCGCCGCTATTGGGGCCTTCGGTGGAGCTCCCTATGGGGCCACGAAGCGCGTGAGGGGTGTACTGGGATGTGTGGCGGGGACGCACGTGAGCGCCGCCACTAGGGCCTTCGGTGCAGCTCTCTATATGGCGCCACGAAACGTGTGAGGGGTGTGCCGAATTGGGTGCGGGTGGTGACGCATGCGGGCGGTGCCACTGGGGCCTTCGGTGGAGCTCCCTATGGGGCCACGAAACCTGTTGTTGTGAGGGGCGTGCCGGGATGGGTGGCGGGGACGCATGTGAGCGCGGCCGCTGGGGCCTTCGGTGGAGCTCCCTATGGGGCCACGAAACGTGTGAGGGGTGTGCCGAATTGGGTGGGTGTGGGTGACGCATGTGAGCGCCGCCACTGGGGCCTCCGGTGGATGATGGGGCCACGAAGCCTGTCAGGGATGTGCCGAAATGGGTGCGCGGGACGCATGCGCATGTGAGCGCCGCCACTGGGGCCTTCGGTGGAGCTCCCTATGGGGCCACGAAACGTGTGAGGGGTGTGCCGAATTGGGTGTGCGGGACGCATGCGGGCGGCAGCACTGGGGCCTTCGGTGGGGCTCCCTATGGGGCCACGAAACGTGTGAGGGGTGTGCCGAATGGGGTGTGCGGGACGCATGCGGGCGGCAGCACTGGGGCCTTCGGTGGGGCTCCCTATGGGGCCACGAAACGTGTGAGGGGTGTGCCGAATTGGGTGTGCGGGACGCATGCGGGCGGCAGCACTGGGGCCTTCGGTGGGGCTCCCTATGGGGCCACGAAACGTGTGAGGGGTGTGCCGAATTGGGTGTGCGGGACGCATGCGGGCGGCAGCACTGGGGCCTTCGGCGGGGCTCCCTATGGGGCCACGAAACGTGTGAGGGGTGTGCCGAAGTGGGTGTGGGTGACGCATGCGGGCGGCAGCACTGGGGCCTTCGGTGGGGCTCCCTATGGGGCCACGAAACGTGTGAGGGGTGTGCCGAAGTGGGTGTGCGGGACGCATGCGGGCGGCAGCACTGGGGCCTTCGGCGGAGCTCCCTATGGGGCCACGAAACGGTGTACTGGGTGGGTGAAGAGGAGAGGAGGAGAGGAGGAGAGGAGAGGAGGAGAGGAGAGGAGAGGAGGACGCGGGGACCGTCTCTTCAAAACGAGGACCCAACACCACAGGATGGTTGGGAACAAACAAACAAACAAACAAACAAACAACCAACCAACCAACTAACCAACCAACCAACCAACAAACAAACAAACCAATCAACAAACAAAGCAACAAACAAAACCTACACGCTTCCCTGAGGAGTTGAACCGATTTGGGCCTTTCGGTGCTGTCCTCGGGCCCTCGTGGATCTCTCTCAGGGCGTCTTGGGGGCCTCTTGGGCCGTTGGGGCCGTCTTGGGCGCCTCTTCGGTCGTCTTTGGATTCCGCTGGGCCGTCTCGGGGGGGGGCGTGGCCCGAGGAATGCAGAGCTGTCGAAGCTGCCACGGGGGCGCTTTTCGGCCTCCCAGGGCCTGTCGAGGAACGAAAAAGCACTCGATCCACAGCACTTACTGGCACGCAGAAGTTCCTGCATTGTAGAAAAGGCTGGGGCTGGCACCCGCTGACGTACGTCAAGAATAGCTGACCCGCAGGCAGGGGTAAGTATCGTATGCCTGATTGTCTGCTCGCCTGCTGTCCTGCTTGCGTGGTTGCTAGCCTGGTTCGCCTGGCACTACGTCCACGAAAGCAAAGTCGGCGATGACCCTCGGCTTGCTGCCAGCCCAATGCTGCACTCCACGGCAGCGGGGACGGCGTGCTGGCCACTGGTGGTGCTCCTGCGTCTGGTGATGCAGCTTCGAGAGCACGGACGGCCCTGGGCTACTCTGAGGGCGGTCTCGGTGGGGGTCCAGTGAAACAAACTTTGGGAGCACGTCAATTAAGCTCCCATGGAAAATCTCTGGACCTCGTGGAGCAATCTGGGCGGCTCTTGAGCGACGGGGGGGTGGCCTTGGTGATATTTTAAAGCGGTCCTGGCCCGCCTTGGGAGCGTCTTGAGATCCTCTTTTCCGTGGTCCATCTTCCGTCTTGAAGCCATCGGTCTTCGAGGCGGGTCAGGCCACTCCAAGGCCGTGTGAGGCCGTGTGAGGCCGTGCCGGTGTGGAAGGTGCTGGAGGCCAGGGGAAAGGAGCGAGGAGCAAGGAGTGAGGAGAGAGGAGCCAGGAGCTCGGAGAGAGAAGCGATGAGCAGTGGGCGAGGAGCAAGGAGAGAGGACGGAGGGTTAGGAGCGATGAGCACATGAATCTCCCGATGGCCTCGACGCGCGCGTGGCCAAACACTTGGTCTCCTCTTGAGTTGCGCATGGGGCCCTCTTGGGGCCGAATGGAAGCATTTTTGGGCCTTTTCCTCTGGGCTTCTTGGGATCCTATGGGGCCATCCTGGGCCTCCTGGAACAATTTGGGGCCCTTTGGTCCACTGGGAGCTGCTTTGGGCGGGTCCGGGGACGTTCGAGGGAGGCCTTTCGGCAATCGTGGAGCGTTCCTGGGCCGCCTTGAGCCCGTCCTGGGGTCCTTGTTGGGGGCCTCTCGGACTGGCCAGATCATCTTGGAGCCACGTTGGGCCGTCTAGGGGAATCTCGAGGGCCGTCTTGGAACGATCTCGGGTGGCCTGTGTGGACATCTGAAGCGCAGAAATACGAGTGCACGAAAATACGTCAAGCCCTCCAAAAAACACTCATCCATCGTTTTTGCTCTCAGAGGCTCTCCCAGGGGTATCCGTTGAGCCGTGTTGGGGCGTTCTTGAGCTTTCTTGGAGCTCCCTGGGGCCGTCTTGGAGCCCTCCCGGGCGATCTAGGGCCTCTCTTGGAACGTCTTGGAGCTCTCTTGGGCCCTTCCTGGGCCGTCTGGGAGCGCCCTTGCGGCGCCCAGGAGCGCGCCGGGGCCTGCCGGGCCAGTTTTGCGCAGCTTGAGCCTGAGACCCTTCTGGCACGCGGCGCTCCCGGCATTGTAGACATGATCACGTAGGGCTCCAGCTTGGCCTCCCACATTTTGCTGAGCAGCGCCACTGCCCGCTGCCACTGCTCGCCCTTCCCGCACGCGCTGATCCCAGCGCTGTAGCTGACTAGGGCTGACCCGTGGACTCCGTCCACGACATCTTTCTGGAATGGTTCTCGGAGGAACGGCGCAGATTGTACCGAAAATCTACAAACACGGCGGCGGCTCGGGCGGCGGCAGCGAGACCGCGCCTTCGTGTCCGAGCTCTTGCAGCGCTGCAGCAGCTTGGCCCAGCGCACTGCTCGTTCACCCCCCTCCTATTGAGGACAGTTTCGAAGTCTCTCGGGGATGTGCGTCGAAGTCGAAGCCCATCTGAGGCGTCTCAGGAGCGCTCGGGGAAGGGCTCGGGAGGCCATCGGGGAAAGCCACCGAAAGCGCCGGGGAGGCTCGCAAGGATCTACAGGGAGGGCCCAAGAGAGCTTCAAGAAAATTTGAAATCCAGTGAACTCTTAAGAGAAACCGCTGTTGGGTCGGCCATCACCTCCGGGCGCGCCTTGATGGTGCGATCCAGTCGCATCACCGCCAACGGGAGGGTTTGTTCGCCATGTCCCATTCTGTTCGCCCAGAGGGTCTGTGGAGGCCTTCGGGCGAACAGAACGGGACAGGGCAAGGAATGGGGAAGACATGTCCGAATCTCCTGGGCCCCCCAGATGCTCGTCCGAAGAATGCGGAGAGGTCCCAGGGTCATATCAATTGGCTGCTGTCCCAGGGGTCCGGTCTGCTTGGCCCGAAGAGTTTGCCAAGGCCCCTGGGGGAACAGAATGGCACAGCATATCGGGCAAAGGGGGGCGGTAGCTGGCCTGTCAGACCCGGCGTTCGTCTTCTGCCCAAGCGGCGCGGGGCCCACGGGCCCCAGGGTTGGCGTCCCGCTGGGATTCCTCTTGTTCGCCCACAGGGTTGGAGGAGGCCTCCAGGCGAACAGAATGGGGCAGGACAATGAATGTGGGAGACTTGTCGCAAGCTCCCAGCCCCCCCAAGTGTGCGCCCGAAGGGTGTGGGGCCGCGTTGGCTCCCTCAAAGGGCCGTCTTGGAGCCGTCTAGGCCCGTCTTGAGGGCGCCGTTTGCCCTGATGGGGCCGTCTTGGTTCGTCGTGGGCCCCTCATGGGCGCGTCCGTAGGCCGTCCTGGGCCCATCGGGGTCCTCGTGGGGCTGTCTTGGAGCCGTCTGGGACCGTGAGGAGGCCGGTCCTCGTTTGGGCTCCTTGGGAACCTCCTGGGGCCTCTTCGGGGGATTCTTGGCGGCCCCTTGGGGCCTCTTGGGGGCCTGTTTGGGCCTCCTGGCGCCCTCTTGGGGCGGAAGGCTCGGATTTTCGGTCCGTGGTCCCCCTCTTGGCCCCCTCTTGGGCCTGTCTTCGGGCCCTCGTGGGCCGTCTTGAGCGTCTCTTGGGTCGTCTTGGGGCCCTCTTGGGCTGTCTTGGGGCGCTCTTGGAAACCTCTTGGGCCGTTCTGGGGCGCTCTTGGAGGCCTCTTGGGCCGTCTTCGAGCGTCGGAAAGCGGAAAAGGCGAGAAGGCCAAAATCCTTACAAAACCGTCGTAAAGCGGACGATCTTGAGGCCCAAAACCGTCCAAAACCTCCTGAGGCGGTCCCCTCGTCCGCCCCCCTCGCTTCGAAGCAGTTTGTAAGCCCCGTGGCACCTCTTGGGGATCTCTTTTGGGCTCCTGGGGGCCTCTTGGGTTTCCACTGGATTCGCTGCCCTCGGTGGGCAATCGTCGATCCTACGACGACTCTCCCCAACGGAGAAACATCGAAGGCCCTCGGAGCGTCCAACATTGTTCTTTTGTGCCTTCGATATGCCGGTCGCCTCTCGTCCGCTCCCCCCCTCCTGGAAGCAATTCTGAGGCCACTTAGGGCTTCGTGGGGGCCGTTTGGGGATCTCTTGGGGCGTTTTTGCTTGCGATATGCCTGTCGCCTCTCGTCCGCTCCCCCGCTCCTGGAGGGAATTCTGAAGGCACTGAAGGCTTCGTGGGGGCCGTTTCGGAGCCTCTTCGGCCTTCTTTTGGGCCTCCCGGGGGGGCTCTTAGGGCCCTCTTGGGCCGTCTTGGGTGCCTCTTGGGCCGTCTCGGGGCCGTCTGAGACCCGCCTCGACGCCTCTTGGGCTGTCGTGGGCCGTCTTGGGCCGCTCCTGGGGCCGTCTTGGGTGCCTCTTGGGCCGTCTTGGGCGCCTCCTGGGCCGTCCTGGGGCCGTCCTGGGCCGTCTTGGGGCCGTCTTGGGGCCCTCTTGGCCCGTCTTGGGGCTCTCTTGGGGTCCTCTTCGGCCGTCTTGGAGCGGTCTGGGGGACGTCTTGGGCCGTCTTGGAGCGTCGGGAAGCCGAAAAGGCGAGGAGGCCGAAAACATCGAAAAACACAATGGAAATCGACGGTTTCTGCCGCTCGGGGCCCTCTTGGGGCGCCTCTTGGGAGGCCTCTTGGGGCGTCTTGGAGGCCTCTGGAGCCGTCTTGGGCCAATCTCGAGCGTCTTGGGCCCCTCGCTGGGCGTGCCGGGGCCCTCCGGGGCCGTCTTGGGGGCCTCTTGGGGCCCCCTTGGCGTGTCTTGGGGCCTCCCGGGGCGGCCCGGGGCCAGCCCGGGGCGATTATGAGTTAATGGAGCCTGCGCCCTTCTGGCACGCACTGGGCCCTGCAATGTAGTAGAGACTAGGGCTGACCCGTGGACTCCGTCCACGACATCTTTCTGGAATGGTTCTCGGAGGAACGGCGCAGATTGTACCGAAAATCTACAAACACGGCGGCGGCTCGGGCGGCGGCAGCGAGACCGCGCCTTCGTGTCCGAGCTCTTGCAGCGCTCCAGCAGCTTGGCCCAGCGCACTGCTCGTTCACCCCCCTCCTATTGAGGGCAGTTTCGAAGTCTCTCGGGGATGTGCGTCGAAGTCGAAGCCCATCTGAGGCGTCTCAGGAGCGCCGGGGAAGGGCTCGGGAGGCCATCGGGGAAAGCCACCGAAAGCGCCGGGGAGGCTCGCAAGGATCTACAGGGAGGGCCCAAGAGAGCTTCAAGAAAATTTGAAATCCAGTGAACTCTTAAGAGAAACCGCTGTTGGGTCGGCCATCACCTCCGGGCGCGCCTTGATGGTGCGATCCAGTCGCATCACCGCCAACGGGAGGGTTTGTTCGCCATGTCCCATTCTGTTCGCCCAGAGAGTCTGTAGAGGCCTTCGGGCGAACAGAACGGGACAGGGCAAGGAACGGGGAAGACTTGTCCGAATCTCCTGGGCCCCCAGGTGCTCGTCCGAGGAAAGCGGAGAGGTCCCTAGGTCATATCTATTGGCTGCTGTCCCAGGGGTCCGGTCTGGTTGGCCCGAAGAGTTTGCCAAGACCCCTGGGGGAACAGAATGGCACAGCATATGGGGCAAAGGGGGGCGGTAGCTGGCCTGTCAGACCCGGCGTTCGTCTTCTGCCCAAGCGGCGCGGGGCCCACGGGCCCCAGGGTTGGCGGCCCGCTGGGTTTCCTCTTGTTCGCCCACAGGGTTGGAGGAGGCCTCCAGGCGAACAGAATGGGGCAGGACAATGAATGTGGGAGACTTGTCGCAAGCTCCCGCCACCCCGAGTGTTTGCCCGAAGGGTGTGGGGCCGCGGTGGCTCCCTCAAAGGGCCGTCTTGGAGCCGTCTAGGCCCGTCTTCAGGGCGCCGTTTGCCGTGATGGGGCCGTCTTGGTTCGTCGTGGGCCCCTCATGGGCGCGTCCGTAGGCCGTCCTGGGCCCATCGGGGTCCTTGTTGGCACTATCGTGGGGCTGTCTTGGAGCCGTCTGGGACCGTGAGGGGGCCGCCTTGGAGTCGTCTTGGGCCCCTCCTGTGCGCCTCCTTGGGCCGTCCTGGGCCCAGCAGGGGCCGTGTTGGCACCCTCTTGGGGCTGTCTTGGAGCCGTCTTGAGCCGTCGCAGCGCGCCTTGGGTTGTGCTGGGTCCGTCTTGGCCCGTCTTGGGGCCTTCCTGGGCGTTTCCTCGGACCCTCCTGGGACTTTCCGGGGCCTCTTGGTGCATCGGACCGCCGAAATGGCGGGAAACGCAAAAGGTGGAACAGTAAACAATGGAAAATGAACGATTTTTGCCAGCTGGGGCTCTCTTGCCATCTTGGCCCGTCTTGAGGCCCCGACCGGGCGCGTCCTTATGTACGCCGTCCTGGGCCCGCCCTCCTGGGACCGTTTTGGAATCGTCTTGGGCCGTCTTGAGCGCGCTTTGGGCCGTCCTGGGCCCGTCTGGGGCCATGTTGGCACCCTCGCGGCGAGGAAGCTCGGAGGCGGGCTCGAGGCCTCTTTGGGGCCATTTTGGAAGCTGTTGGGGCCCCTGTTGGGGCCTCGTTTGGGCCCCTTGGCAGGCCCCTGGGGCCTCTTCGGGGGATTCTTGGCGGCCCCTTGGGGCCTCTTGGGGGCCTGTTTGGGCCTCCTGGCGCTCTCTTGGGGCGGAAGGCTCGGATTTTCGGTCCGCGGTCCCCCTCTTGGCCCCCTCTTGGGCCTGTCTTCGGGCCCTCGTGGGCCGTCTTGAGCGTCTCTTGGGTCGTCTTGGGGCCCTCTTGGGCTGCCTTGGGCCGCTCTTGGAGGCCTCTTGGTCCGTTCTGTGGCGCTCTTGGAGGCCTCTTCGGCCGTCTTCGAGCGTCGGAAAGCCGAAAAGGCGAGAAGGCCAAAATCCTTCCAAAACCGTCGTAAAGTGGATGAGTTTGGCCGCTCGGGGCCCTCGGGGAAGACGCTTGCAGGCCTCTTGTGCCGTCTGGGCGGCCTCTTGGAGCGCTCTTTGGGCGTCTCGGGGGCTCCTTGAGCTGTCTTGGGGGCTTCTTGGAGCCGCCCGGGGCGTGTTTAAACCGCGCCGTGAAAAATCCGCGGGTTCCCTAGCCATTTGGGTGGATTTCCTTCCGGCACGCGGTTCCTCCGGCCATATAGTATAGACTAGGGCTGACCCGTGGACTCCGTCCACGACATCTTTCTGGAATGGTTCTCGGAGGAACGACGGAGACTTTGTCGAAAACAAACTTTGTCGAAAAGGAGGCTGGCGACGTCTGTAGGACTGGCC